CAAAATAATAAAAAAAAAAAATGTCCTCAGTGAGGATAAAAAATTTAAAAAATAAAATAAAAACCTGGCACTTGATGTACCTGTAAGCCCGTGTTTATGTGGGAAACAGGTTGTGTGTGTGCATCTTGGTCACGCCTGTGGGGAGACTTCAGAACATCATCTGTGAGAAGCAGCCAGTGTTCTCACTACACCAACTTCCATCCACAAATCATGGTGTATGTATGCAGTAAAACACCTGCTAGTAAAACGGGACTCAGTACTGTGCTGGCTGCTGTAGAACTATTTCCCCGAGTCCACATAAGACAGTAATACTGCAGCTAGCTACTGTGCCAGGCACTGTGCCAAGTGCCCTCAATGCATTACCTCATTGAAACATCACTAAAACTGTCCTAGAGATGAGAGTATCCCTGAATCCCTGATTCACCCATGAGAAAAATTAGGCTTAGAGAAGTGCATTGTCAAGTTGCAGATAATAAAAACCAGGACTAACATCTAAGTCTTTTTGGGGGGGGTTAATCCTTACCCGAGAATCTTTCCATTTATCTTCAGATAGAGTGGGAGGGAGGAAGGGGGAGAAAGAGTAACATCGATGTGAGAGAGACACATAGATTGGTTGCCTCCCACACCACCTCTACCAGGGCTGGGGACCAAACCACAACCGAGGTATGTGCCCTTGATTGGAATCGAACCTGAGACTCTTTGGTCTGGGCTGACACTCCAACTGCTGAGCCAAACCAGTCAGGGCACATCTAAATCTTTAACACAGGAAATAGTGAACTGTTCAAGTAAGTGCTATGTAACGTGGTAGAGACTCTAATGCATTAGAATCACCTGGGGAAATTTAAACCAAGACCCTCTGAATGAAGTGAAATCAGCAAGGCTGAAGGACAGATCAGTACTTCTAAGGAACTTTCCAGGAACTTCTCTCGTATCTAGAAACCACTGGATGCCAACTATTTAGAGTCTGAAGAAGAAAATGGTGGCCATTTAAAGTTATGTGGATGAGGAAGGACTTAAGCTGGTTCTTAAACAGTGTGCTTTTCACAGGACAAGGGTTTCTCTTATTCAGCATCCTATTTCATCTTTATGATAATTTTATGAGGGAAGTTTTTAGTAGATGACCTAGACTCAGATGTAACATGACTTTTTCAAGATCATGCAGCTGATGAAAAGATCTGGAAATGGAGCCAAGTTTACATATCTGAATCCAGTGATCTTTGCAATTTACCATTGAACAGGTGGCCAGGAGGGCATTTGAGGTTGAGCTGCCCAAATGACTGGAAACAGAGAGACAGAAAAGAGCAAACAAGGAGCTCAATTAGCTGTAGTAGATTGGATATTGTTTTCCATTCTTCATTCCATCCACCACGTGACCTTGCAGTGCATGGAAAGGTTGTGGTATATGTTTGCTCTGCTGATGTCATTTGGCTTCAGCCATCCATACGACTTTTTTCACTTACTGCAAACTTTGAAGTCAATGGTCTTTATTCTACTTATCAACTAATATTTGAGCAGCTACATGGGGGAGTCCCATAGGTTAACTTGTCGAGAACAATCTCATCTTCCAAATCTGCCCCTTTATAATTTCCAGTGTGTCAATGGCCTAGAATCTTGGGAGTTATCTGGTCAACCGAGTCGCTTCTTCCTGTACCTCAGTTCCCCCAGCCCAACAGAATCAGTTTCCTCCATTTCTCCTGTCTCTTCCGACCTCTCTTTCCCCAGTACCTTTGCTGGAGCTCAGTGTTAGCATCCCTTGCTTCAATGATAATCCCTCTTTTTTAAAATGTTTTTATTGATTTTTTTTTTTTTAGATAGAGAGGAAGGGAGAGATGCATAGAAACATTGATGGGAGAGAGATACATTGATTGGTTGCCTCCTGCACGCCCTCTACTGGGGATTGAGCCCAAAACCCAGGCATGTGCTCTGATCAGGAATCGAATCAGGTCCTCTCAGTCTATGGGACAACGCTCAATCCACTAAGCTACAGTGGCTGGGCAGTACTTGACTTTTTTTTCCCTTTAATTTCTATTTTCTTTATTGAGTTTAGAGAGAGAGGGAGAGAGAGAGATAGAAACATTGATGAGAGAGAACATCAACTGGCCCCTTTCTGCATGCCTCCCACTGGGGATTGGGCCCACAACCTGGGCATGTGCCCTGATTGGGAATCAAACCAGCGACCTCTTGGTGCATGGGTCGATGCTCAACCACTGAGCCACACCAGCCGGGTAATACTTGGCTTCTTTAAAACCCCAACACCTAGCATTGTGCCTGGCATTTAAAAGATGATGGAATTAATTGGAAAAGGTGAAGAGCAAAAGCTCTGTGCCCATCTGTGAAATGGGGCTAAGGCTCTCATGATCAGATGTGATTCGCTTACTGCCTTTGGCCATTTTAAATGACCAGTAGGTGGCGCTGTGGCTTATGAATTGAGGTTTCTTGGGTTCCCAGGGCCCCTTCTACAGAGTGCACTGTGCCAGGTTTAATTAGAAATTTATGTCCCACTAATAAAATCTACCCTGAAAGGTGATAACCCAGCGTGGTTTCCATGCACGGAAAGGACTAAGAAGAAACTCCTCTGGTGCAGCCTTGAAAAGAGGGATGTGCCCATCCCTTCCCATTGTCCTTCCCATGAGAGGCTTCATGGAGTTAGGGACCCTCAAACTTGGATCTGGGGCATCAATAGACTCAAGCCCTTCAGAGTCCAAGATAAAAGGGTTTGTCCAGGGTGGTCAAGAGCATGACTTTGGAGCTGACCTGGCCAGGTCTGAATGCCAGCATTCAGGTATTCAGATATTCTCTGCTGACCTGGAAGATGATTGAACTCTCACACCCCACACATCCTCAGGACTCCTATTTTTAAAATTTTGTTTTTATTTTGTTAAAATTTGTTTTTATGCCCTGACCGGTTTGGCTCAGCGATTAGAGCGTCGGCCTGCGGTCCAGAGAGACCCGGGTTCGGTTCCCGTTAAGGGCACGTACCTCGGTTGCAGTTTGTCCCCGGCCCTGGTTGGTTGTGAGGGTGGCAGCCACTCGATGTGTCCCTTTCACGTCGATGTTTCTCTCTGTCTTTCTCTCTCTCCCTCCCACTCTATCTGAACAAAAAAATGGGAAAATGTTCTCGGGTGAGGATAAAAAAAAAAAAAAAATTTGTTTTTATTTTTGGATTAAACCATTATTATTTACATTGTTTGACTTTATAAAAGTTATTCTCAACTGAACCAAATCATGCACTATAATTATATTTTTTCCCATTTTATTTTTAGAGATTTCAAATATACTGTAAAGTTGAAAGAATTTTCCAGTGAACACCCAAACACCCAAACAACTGATGCTAGAGTCAACCATTTTACTAAACATCCTTTATCATTTATTTATTCATTCCTATATTCATTCATTAATCTATCTTGGTTTTGGTTCATTTCAAAGTATGTAGTAAACATCAGTACATGCCACTCTAAATACTTTTCTTATAATATTTTTGGTTTTGGTATCAGTGTACTGCTGGACTCATAAAATGAGTTGGTTAGCCCTGGACAGTTTGGCTCACAGGTTAGAGCGTTGGCCTGAGGACTGAAGGGTTGTGGGTTCAATTCCTGGTCAAGGGCACATACCTGGGTTGCAGGTTTGATCCCCGGCCCTGGTTGGGGTCATGTGGGAGGCAACTGGTCAATGCATCTCTCTCACATCAATGTTTTGCTCTCTGTTCTCTCCCCCTCTCCTCTTCCACTGTATTTAAAAATCAATGGAAAATATCCTTGGGTGAGGATTAACAACAACAACAATAGGGCACCACATCTGCCAGGGTTGTTGTGACAATTAAAGGAGGAAGAATATGTGAATATGCATTGTAAGCTCTATAGAAAAAGGCTACTATTATTAAGCATTGCTGGGATCTAGACAAGAGAGGTGTGAGGTTGTCTGGTCATGCATTTGCGGGAGTAGAAATTCCTGAGGCCCTGGATATTTTGGGGGGACTTGCAACCCCAGGCTAGCTATGGAGTCCTTGTGCCTGGCTCTGGCCCCACTCCCCAGTACCCACAGTGATATCCATGTTCTATCATTGTTTCCCCAGAAAGCCAAGCCCACTCACCTCTCAGCAGAGCTTCTAGGAGTTGGCCCCTGTCTCTGAGAGGGCGCCAGCCCAGGGGCTAGGGGTCACACAGACTCCAGAAGGAGGAAGTAGTCAGCTTGCAAGGCTGTCCTTTGGCTGGATAACCTTTGATCCGCCCTGTGGGGAATGTACACATTTGCCGGTGGCCTGCAAGACAGCCTTTTATTTTCTAAGAAATGTGAGCCATGGTGTAGATCTGCTTTAACTTACTCTGGTGGGGTTGTATAGGCCTCGGCCAGACCCCAAGCTTCATGGCAATGTGCTGCCCCCTAACTATACTACCTGTTTGTCTAGGGGCCAGCCTGTTCCCAGAAGGACTCAAGTCAGCCAAGGGTGTCACATGCTCTCTCCCGCTTGCCTTGCCCTCTCCTGGCCAATAGTCAAGTGGGAGGCAGTGGTGGGGAACCAGGGGAAGGGCCCAGCCCCCTACACTACCCAGACAGTCTGTCCTACAGCACCCTTTTTCTCCCACGGTGCAACCCCAGCCCACTTCCCTGCAAGCCTAGGCCCCCAGTGCTCCCACCTACCGAAGGCACCTGTCTGGTGTACAGTTACCACCTGCCCATGTTTAATTCATGGCTGGGGGGTTGGGACCAGCTTCCCAAGAAAGGAAAGAACTCCCCTGGGGTCTTGCCCAGTTCCTGCCCGTGCTCGAAGGGCACATGGCTGAGGCCCCAGACTCCTGCCTGGGCTTGGGGCTGGGAGTGGAAGCTGCTGATGAAGGACACTGTCCCAGCCAGGGCACCACCATCATTTGTTAATCCGCAGCCCTGGAATGTCTGTGGGCCAATCAGCAAGGTCTCCAAGGGCTCCCTGAGGGCTCTAATAATCCTGCAATGATTAGCAGGGGCCACGGGGTCAGTGCACACCATTTGGTTGGTAGGTCGGCTGTTGGAGGGGCAGCCAGGATTGCAGCTATCTGTCTCTTTTCATGCCAGCCTGGATGGGAGGCTGTTTGGACACAATGATTACTCACCAGCCTCCTTTTGTCTGCCAGCCCAGCCTGACTCCTCGAGATTGTGAATAGCTCCATCTAGCCTGTGAAGAGAGCTGGATGCTGGACAGCTGAGCCAGGCCACTCCACTCCCGGATAGCGCTACAGACCCATGCTACAGCTGGAGCCCTCCTCTGGGGTGGGGGGCCGCTGGCCTGGCCTCCTGCCCATGCTCCTGGCTCTCCTTTGCACGGCCTGGGCAGAGGTGCTGCCGCTCCAGCTATGGGAGAAGCAGGCTCCAATGCCTGGAGGTAAGGGGCCCTGGGTGAGGAAAGGTGGAGGAGCTATGACCTCCACGGAGGAGTACTAGGGGGCTTCTGGAAGCTAGTTGGAGGCCTGAGCCCTGAGCATGCTGGTGTGGTTTAAAGAGCAACACTTGGAGAGTCCAGGGGCCTAGATGGATGGGGGAGGTTGGGCTGGGGAGGAGAAAGAATAAGGGAGAGTGGGCTCAGGTGTGGGGGTCAAGGAGGAATACAGCCTAGAATTTGCACTTGGGGCCCTAGGAGAGATGCCAGGAGGAGCCCCAGCTAGGGGACTTCTTCAAGCTCAGGGCTAGTCCCCTCCTCATCTCCTATTCCCCTCTATCTTGCCCACCCCCAGCTCTCAGCCCAAGCTCTCCTTTATACCTGCCTCTCTCTCACCACTGACTCTTTTCCACCTTTTAATCACCCCATCTCCCTGTTCCAGGTCCTCCCACATATGCCACCATCCTCCCGTCCCACCTTAGGTCTTGTTTCCTAAGGGCAGGTTTGCATTCTCATCTTAACATGGTGACCCCCACCCCCTCACCCAGGGAGGGGCCCAGGTCCCACTGCTCAGGTGGGCCTGACCTTGTCTCCCATTCCAGCCCTGAGCAGGAAGGAGAGTTTCCTGCTCCTCTCCCTGCACAACCGCCTGCGCAGCCAGGTGCACCCCCCTGCAGCCAACATGCAGAGAATGGTGAGTACCCCATCCAGGCTCCCAGAGTGGGCGGATGGAGGGGCAGTGCTGAAGGGAGCTCAGGAGGCCATGCTGACAGGATAAAAGAGGCAGCCAGTCACCTTGCCTATGGCGGGGACCCAGCCTGGTTGCTGGGACCTCCACAGCTTCCTGCTTCCCAGATGGGCAGTCCTTTGGCCTTCCCTCACATCCCATCCTGTTGTCCTGGAGACCAAGAGGCATGGAAGGAGGAGCTTCACAAAGGAGCCCCAGCAGGATGGAGGGGTTGGGCACTGGGAGGGAGAAGCATTCTGCTCAGGGGAGGGGACTTGTGTACAACCAGGACCCAGTGCTTCTTCACGAGTTTGTCTGGGCCACTCGGAGGGGCCCCTCCAAGTTCCCTGCTCATTCACTGGGGCTGGAGTAGGTGGTGTAGGGTTTCCCATCACCCCTGATTGGGGTTGGAGGTGTCATCCTGGGGCCCAGAAACTCTGCCCCCATAGTGTGGGACCTCAGCTGCCCCAGCCCATAGTCACAGGCCAGGGAGTGAGGGAGGGACAGGGTGGGGGCGGGCAGGTTCTCCATGGCTGCCTCCCACAAACTCCTCCTCCCCTGGCTAGCAGTGGTGACCTTGAGAAGTCCTGGGTCAGTTTCCCAGGAGGTGGGGGTGGAACAAGCAGAGGCAGATGGGAGGGGGTCACTTCTCCCCCTTTCCCTGCTCTGCAGTGGCTCTGTCCCTCCTTCAGGCCCAGGTCCTGGCTCCCAGTACCCCTCCTCACACCCCAGCCCTAGCCTCTGTGTGAGGGCTCTCCTGATCAGCTGGTCAGTTGCTATGCTTTTCATGCCCGTTTTATCAAAGTCTTAGAAAACAGCATTTCATAAAAGGTGCAAATGAAGTCCCCACTCAGCCTCCCTCACACCTATGGCTTTGGCCCTGGGCACCCCGGTGGGCTCCTGGAGCTTTTGTCCAGTGGGGCTGAGGCCCTGGGGGTGTTTCCGGGCTGCTGAGGGGCCCCTGCGGGCCCTGCTGCTCCCAGCTCCAGCCCTGATCAGTAGTAAACTGATCAGTAGTAAAATCACTGTGGCCCCTGCCCAGGGCCTGCTGTGGGTCAGGCCTTCAGCACAGCATTCTTCTCCCGGCATCTATCTAATCCCATGACAATCTCAGCCTATAGGTACCTTAGTGTCCCCACTTTACAGATGAGAACGTTGAGTCTCTTGGAGACTAGGAGATTCCTGGCGGTCCCCCAATGAGGTGACTAGGCTGGACCAGGGCACAGTGCCTGCAGAGGGCCTTGTTTCAGAGGAGGGGTGCTGCTGGGTTGGGGGTGGAGGTCAGCTGGTGCCTGGGTAGGGAGAGCAGATTACACCGGTTCCAGAAAACTCTTTCTGGGACCAAAGAACTGGGGCCCAGGAGACTTCTAACACCCTCGCTGCCACTCCTTCCCTGTTGGCGCCTGACACGCTCGAGGCCGGGATGGGGGAACAGGATACAGAGGCATGGCTGCTGCGGCTTTCGGCATTGCCAAAGGGAAGCCGAGTGGGAGCAGCTGAGCCTTTCTGACAATGGCCAGGGCCAGGTGTACCTAATGGCAAACACAGACCAGTGTGAAAGGCTCGGATACGGCCCAGGGCTCACATTGCCAGGTGGGAAAAATTACTGCAGAAACCCATCCCGTCAGCTGGGCTGGCACTACTCCCTCCAGAGCACCTGTCCCCCTCAGGGTGGTGGAGCCATGGTCAGGGCCTGAGGGTGCCCACACAGGGGTCAAGAGGATGCAGGCTCGAAGTCCTGGGTGGAGCAGGCTCTGGGTTGGGGGTCCAGACAGCACTGGGCCTTTTTCCAACACACCTGGAGTTGGAAACACACACGGAGAGTCCCGTGCAGGTCCTGTCTGACCTTCCCCACCCCAGTGAAGTGGGTAAAACCTGCTCAGAGTGGTCAGGCAGCCGGCAGGATACCTGGGCCAGTGCTCTCTTCTCCGCAGGACTAGCTGCTGATGTCTCTGTTTGTACCGCCCCCAGGACTGGAGTGAGAGCCTAGCCCGACAGGCTCAGGCAAGGGCAGCCCTCTGTGGTGCCCAGGGCCCACGCCCAGTGTCCACTCACCGGGCCACCTCACATGTGGGCTGGAACGTGCAGCTGCTGCCTGCGGGCGCAGCGTCCTTCGTCCATGTGGTGGGCCTGTGGTTTGCAGAGGGCCAGCGCTACAGCCATGCAGCGGCCGAGTGTGCCCACAATGCCACCTGCACGCACTACACTCAGGTGAGGCCAGGGTACCAGTTCCGAGGCCCCGAGCTGTGGGGGGTCAGCTCAGAAGGGCTAGGATTTGTCCTAAAATTAGTGGTTGCTTTTCCTCTAATTTGCATGGTTTTACTTTTTTTCAGCTTTAAATATGAAATAAATCAAATAATGGGCTCCCTCTTACCCACTACTTAGATTTAGAAAATGTTAACTGTATTTGTTTCTCATCTCTTTAAACCACCGCCACAACAACATCTAAACTAAATGATAGCCCTACTCCCGCCCTTTCCTATGTCCCTCGAAGAGGTAACTTTCCTGAAGTCCAAGGGGAGCGCCCAAGCACGACTCCTTTTTTTTGTTAATTTTCATATGAGGATATTTTCCCATTGATTTTTAGAGAGTGGAAGGGAGGAAGGGAGGAGAGAGAGAGACATATCAGTTGGTTGTCTCCCACACAACCCAATCAGGACCAAGGATTGAACCTGCAACCCAGGTATATGTGCCCTTAACCGGAAATCGAACCTGTGACCCTTTGGTGCACAGACTAACGCTCTAACCACTGAACATACCGGCCAGTTCCTTTGTTTTTTTTTCTATATATCTGGCATTGTTTAGGTGCTAAGGGAAAACACAGGCAAAACCCAAGCATGTTTTCATACCTTTACTACACGTCAAAGTATTTTTATACCCTTTCTACTTGTGCACATGGGTTGTGTGTTATTAAATCTTACATAAATGCTCTTTCTGTCCCCTTTTGCATTTGTGTTTACCAACACTTTTTTTTTCTTTATTGATTTTAGAGAGAGACAGAAACATCGATGAGAGAGAACATTGATTGGCTGCCTCCTGCATGCCCCCCACTGGGGATCTGGCCCACAACCTGGGCATGTGCCCTGACCGGGAATAGAACTGGCGACCTCTTGGTGCATGGGTCGATGCTCAACCACTGAGCCACACCAGCCAGGTCAAACTACACTTTTAAGATTTACTTCTGTGATCCAGATACCAATGAATGATTCACTGCGAATAAACTGAAATCTACAGGCATCCAGGTTATTTTTACTTGTATACTATCACAAGCCATGCTGCAATGCACCTATCTTAGTTCTGATCTTCCTGTACGTGTTTCACTAGGACACACTTGGAAGGGAATGTTTGGGTCATAGAGAACATGCGCGTACGACCCTGCTAGGTACTGCCAGAGTGATGCACCACCTGTACTCCCACCGCAAACCAGTTTTCACTTCCCCGGTATTTGTACTGTCAGGCTCCTTAATTTTGGCCAACTCCAGGCTGTGAAATGCTACTTCATTCTGTTGATAATTTACTTTTCCCTGATTACTTGTGAGACTGAGCATTTTTACTGTTCTGTTAATTGCCTGTTCCTATTTCTTGGCCATTTTAATAATGTGCTGCCTCTTTTCCTTACTAATTTGTAAGCGTCCCTTCTATATAATTTTTTCATATATTATATGTGTGTGTGTGTATATATATATGTGTATGTGTGTGTGTGTGTGTGTGTATATATTTTTTAATCCTCACCCGAGGATATTTTTCCATTTATTTTCAGATAGAGTGGAAGGGAGGGAGGGAGGGAGAAAGAGAAACATCCATGAAAGAGAGACACATCAACTGGTTGCCTCCCACATAACCCAATCAGGGCTGGGGACCAAACCGCAACCGAGGTACATGCCCTTGACCAGAATCAAACCCAAGACTCTGGTTTGCAGGCCAACGCTCTAACTGCTGAACAAAACCGACCAGGGCTTTTTAAAAAATATGTTTTATTGATTTTTTAGAGAGAGAGAGAAAGAGAGAAAGACAAAGAAATATCTATGTGAGAAACTCAGATCGGCTGCCTCCCACATGCCCCCTACTGGGAATGGAGCCCGAAACCCGAGACCCGGGCATGTGCCCTGACCAGGAATCAAACTGGGGCCTCTCAGTCCATGGGACGATGCTCAATCCACTGAGCCACACCAGCCAGGCATTTTTCCTATATTTTTTATACGTACTGGTCATCTGGATTGCAAATGCCTTTTTCTAGCCTATCTCTTTATTTATATTATCTTTTATTATATAACCAGGCCCTGGCCGGTTTGGCTCAGCGGTTGGAGCGTCAGCCTGCGGTCCGGAGAGACCCGGGTTCGGTTCCCGCTAAGGGCATGTACCTCGGTTGCAGTTTGTCCCCGGCCCTGGTCGGTTGTGCGGGTGGCAACCACTTGATGTGTCCCTTTCACATCGATGTTTCTCTCTCTCTCTTCCTCTCTCTCCCTCCCACTCTACCTGAACAAAAAATGGAAAAATGTCCTCGGGTGAGGATAAGAAAAAAAAAAAAAGAAATCCTTTTCTACTCTAACATTAGAAAGATATTCTTCCTATATTTTTTTCTAAAGTTTAAATGTTTTCCTTTTTCATATTGAAGTCATTAAGCTACCTGAAATTTTTTGTGCATGGTGTGATATAGGATTTAATGTCATCTTTTTCACATGGGCAACTTTTAAGAATTTTTTAAAAATTAATTTTAGAGGGGGAGGTGGGGGGAGAGAGAGAAACATTGACCGGTTGTCTTCCTTATGTGCCCCAACTGGAGACTGAACGCACAACCCAGGTATGTTCCCTGACCAGGACTCGAACCGGCAACATTTTGGTGTGCAGGATGACAACCAACTGAGGCACTCTGGCCAGGCCATATGGGCACCTTTATTAAATACTGAATCTTTCCCCACTGACTCATAGAGCCACCCCGGTCGTATACCAAGCTCACATGTCCACACAGGTTATGGTTTCTCTGCTCTATTCTGTTGGTCTTTTTGTTTGTCCTACACAAATTGTGTTTTAATTATAGTTTTATAAAAAGTTTTGACAGGAAAATCCCCCATATCATATTGTTCAAAAATTTCTTTGCTATTCTTGGCTCCTGATTTTTTGTATAAGTTTAATAAATAGCCTCTATCCGATTACAGACATATCTTTCTAATCTAAGTTTGTTAAAGATTTTAAAAATCATGAATAGGTCTTGTACTCTATCGAATACTTTTTCTACATCTATTGAAATAATCATATGGTTTTTCCTTAACAATTAAAGTGATAAAATGCATGAATAATTCTTATGTGTGTATAAAGCTGTTATATGACACTAGATCTTCCTGGTTACATATATATATTTTTTTATCCTCACTCGAGGACATTTTTCCATTTTTTGTTCAGATAGAGCGGGAGGGAGAGAGAGGAAGAGAGAGAGAGAGAAACATTGACGTGAAGGGACACATCGAGTGGCTGCCACCTGCACGACCAACCAGGGCCGGGGACAAACTGCAACCGAGGTACGTGCCCTTAGCGGGAACCGAACCCGGGTCTCTCTGTACCACAGGCCGACGCTCCAACCGCTGAACCAAACCGGCCAGGGCCTGGTTACATATTTTTAAAGTTTTATTGTAGCCCTGGCTAGGGGGCTCAGTTCATTGGAATGTCATCCTGTACACCAAATGTTATGGGTTCAACTCCAGGTCCGGGCACATACCTATGTTGTAGATTCAATCCCCAGTCGGGGTGCTAACAGGAGGCACCCAATCGATGTTTCTCTATCACGTCGATGTTTCTCTCTCTCTCTCCCTTCATCTCTCTCAAGAAATCAATAAAAACATATCCTTGCTCTGGCCAGATTTTCTCAGTGGTTAGAGCATCAGCCCTTGGACCAAAGAGTTGTGGGTTTGATTCCGGTCAAGAGCATGAGCCTCGGTTGCGGTTCAGTCCCGGCCCTGGTTAGGGTCATGTGGGAGGCACCCAGTCGATGTGTCTCTCTCATATCAATGTTTCTCTCTCTCTTTCTCCCTCCCACTCTATCTGAAGATAAATAGAAACATATCTTCAGGTGAGGATTAAACAAAAAATAATAACCTCAGGTGAGAATTAAAAGTTTATTGTTTTTAAAATTTTTTTTCTTTATTAATTTTTAGAGAGAGAGGAAGAGGGAGAGAGAGTTAGAAACATCAGTGAGAGAGAACATTGACTGGCCACCTCTTGCACACCTCCCACTGGGGACTGGGCCCACAACCTGTGTCCTGACTGGGAATCGAACTTGTGACCTTTTGGTGCATGGGTTGATGCTCAACCACTGAACCACACTGGCCAGGCTACAATAAAACTTTTAAACCTGCCTGGTATATTGATACCAACATTAATATGTATTTTTAAATGTTAATTCATCCTTGTCTTCCTACTTGCAGGGCTGTAATTTATCTATGCACCATATGTTATAACAGTTCATCAAATGCTAAAACACTTATGTGTCAGTAAACAGTCACTGCCCCAAGTTCCCAGCATGCACTTGGTTTATCCCCTTTCCTGGGACCCCTGGGATCTCTCCAGTGGTCTAGGACCAAAGGATGAATACCACAGAATCCTGCTCCAGCCCAGCATCTGTTTCAGTTGGCAAGTATCCATGCCTTCTGTTTGTTAAATACTTTGAGTATCTGCCTACTTTGCATGTCATGAGATGTAAAACAGTGTGATGAGGTGTTTGTGTTGTTTTGTTTTTAATTTGCTAGATTTGGTTTGCTAAATATTATTTGACAGGGAAATTGTCTTCTGATTTTCTTTTCTTCTGCTGCCCTTACCTGGATTATAGCAATGCTACTTCCATGGACGGTCCAGTTTCCCAGCCCTGCCCCTCCAAGGACTATCCAATGCCTTCACCCTACCCCTCCATAGACTGTCCTGTCCCTTCTCCCTGACCCATTCATGGACTGTCCAGTATCCCCGCCCTGCCCCTCCATGGACTGTCCTGTCCCTTCTCCCTGACCCATTCATGGACTGTCCAGTATCCCCATCCTGCCCCTCCATGGACTGTCCTGTCCCTTTTTGCTGACCTCTCCATGGACTGTCTGTCCCTTCTTTTTGCCCCTTCCATGGAAGCTTTGCCTCATTTTCTATTTCCTGGAATCATGTATGTGTAAGTGGATTTTTAACTACTGACTCAACTTTTAGAAATGGTCACAGATAATTTCAGATTTTCTATTTCTTCTTGAGAGAGTTTTGCCAAGTTCTGTTTCAAAGGAAATTGTCCATTCTATGTTTTCCTATTTATTCTTCATAATTATGGTTTTAAAAAAAATTTTTTTTCTTTATTGATTTTAGAGAGAAAAGGAAGGGAGAAGAGAGAAAGAGAGAGAAACATCGATGAGAAAGAACATCGACTGGCTGCCTCCTGCATGCCCCCCACTGGGGTTTCTGGCCCACAACCTGGGCATGTGCCATGACCGGGAATCGAACTGGCGACCTCTTGGTGCATGGGTCGATGCTCAACCACTGAGCCATATGGGCTGAGCTTGTTCATTATTTAACAGCAGTTTTACGACTAGAATTAAACAGATTTTAAAAGTATTTACTGTGTCTGTAGCTAATGTCTTTTGAAACGTCCTAAGGTTATTTGTGCCCTCTCTCTTTTATTCTTAACCAATTTTTCCAGAGGTTTCTCTATTTTAACAAATCAACTTTTTCTTTGTTTTATTAATTTTTATTAATTTCTACTCATTTTTATTTTCTTTCTTCTATTTTATTTTATTTACTCTTATTCATTTTTTATATTGATGATATGGGTTCTTAGCTCATTAATTTTAAGTCTTTTTCATTTCTTTTTATTTTTTTTAATCTTTATTGTTGAATGTATTACAGATGTTCCTCATTTTTCCTCCATTGATCCCCTCTTCCCCACTCCCGCCCCCCTCCTGCCTTTTCCCACACTGTTGTCTGTGTCCATTGGTTACATATAAGTTTTTTGGATTATTTCTTCCCACCCCCAACCCCCTTCCCTCTGAGGTTTGTCAGTCTAGCAACCAATTTGTACTTCTTAATCCCTTCACCTTTTTCACCCATTTCCCCAATCTCCCTCCCATCTGGCAACCAACAAAATGTTCTCTGTATCTATGAGAGTGTTTCTGTTCTGCCTGTTCATTTTGTCTGTAGATTCCATTGCCGATAGATATGTATTCATTGCCATTTTGTTTGTTCATATATTTTATCTTTTTCTTCAAAAAGACCCTTCATCATTTCATATAATAACGGTTTGGTGGTGATGAATTCCTTTAACTTTTTCTTGTCTGGGAAACTGTTTTATATGTCCATCAATTCTAAACTATAGCTTTGCAGGATAGAGTAATCTTGGTTGTAGGTTCTTGCTTTTCATCACTCTGAATATTTCTTGCCACTCCCTTCTGGCCTGCAAAGTTTCTTTTGAGAAATCAGCTGACAGCCTAATGGGAACTCCCTTGTAGGTAACTAGCTGCCTTTCTCTTGCTGCTTTTAAGATTCTCTCTTTGTCTTGAACCTTTTGCATTTTGATGATGATGAGTCTTGGGGTGGGCCTCTTGGGGTTCATCTTGTTTGGGACTCTTTGTGCTTCCTGGACTTGTATGTCTGTTTCCTTCACCCAGTTAGGAAAGTTTTCTGCCATTATTGTTTCAAACAGGTTTTCGATTTCTTGTTCTCTCTCTTCTCCTTCTGGCACCCCCAAGATGCGAATGTTGGCACGCTTGAAGTTGTCCCGGAGGCTCCTTACACTCTCCTCATTTTTTTGGATTCTTTTTTCTTTTTGCTGTTCTTATTGGGCATTTTTTGCTTCCTTATATTCCAAATCGATGGTTTGCTCCTTGGATTTACGTACTCTATTATTGAAGCTGTGTAAATTATTCTTTATTTCAGTTAATGCCTTCTTCAATTCTAACTGTGCATCCCTGATTTCTAACTGGTCCTTTTTTATGCTCTTGAGGCCCTCCCTAAGTTCACTGAGGTTCTCACTAAGTTCATTGAGCATCCTTATAAGCAGTATTTTGAACTCAGCATCTGTTAGGTTGCTTATCTCCATTTTGCTTAGTTCTTTTCCTGGGATTTTGTTCTGTTCCTTCATTTGGGACCTGTTTTTTGTCTCCTCATTTTGGCCGCCTTCCTGTGTTTGTTTCTGTGTATTACTTAACAAGTGGTATGGGGCTAGCTGAGACCAGATGCTGCTTGTTTGAAAGAATTTAGGAAAACCTGAAGCAGGATCCAAGACAGGCCAATCCTATGGTTAAGCAAGTGGCAACAGCTTGGGTGGGCCTGAAAGTTGGGTGGGGCAGGGCCTCAGGGAATCACCAGGGTAGGGCAACCAGTGTGAGCCAGGTTGCTTGAGTCCCAGATAAGGCATCTGTCTGCCACCCCAGGGAAGAGCTCACCAAAGGAAAAAAGGCCTCTGACAGCACGTTTGTCCTCGAGAAAGCCTCCTCTCCAGCCCTCGCTCCAATGCCAAACAGCTCAGTTCTTCCCTGTATGTCTCTGGCGCCCCTCCAGTTGACTCCCCTCCAAGCTTAGAGGGAGTGAGTCCGATAAGTCCGTGCACGGGCCCTTTAAGAGGAACTGCCTGGGGCTCCAGCCGCGTCAGCTTCCCTGACCCTCAGTTCCTGCTGGTTTTTCCAGCCAGAAATGGGGATTCTCTTCCTGGCACTGGAACACTGAGCAGGGCACCTGGTATGGGACAGGGATCCCTCAGTGCTCAGGGAGGACCTTCCCAGCCGAGGTGTCCTCCTGATTTTTATCCGCCACACGTGGGTGTAGGACCAGCCCCTCCGCCTCCGCCCCTCCTACCAGTCTGGATGTGGCTGCTGCTTTAATTCCGTAGTTGTAGGACTTCCATTCAGCTTGATTTCAAGCGGTTTTGAATGATGGTTGTTCTGTAGCTTAGTTGTAACTTTGATGTGGTTGTGGGAGGACGCAATAGCGTGTTTACCTACCTGCCATCTTGACCAGAAGTCAAGTCTTTTTCATTTCTGCTTTAATGCATTTAAAGGTATAGATTCCCCCTAAACTTTGCTAGCTGCAGCCCATAAGTTTGATACTTAGTGTTTTCATCGTCATTAGGGTCTTAGTGTTTCCTGTTTTCCATCATGATTTGTCTTTGATTTTGAAATGTATATTTAAATTTCCAAACTATGCTTTCTTCTTTACTTACTTCTAAATTACTTACTCTTGATTTTATTTCATGGAATTCATAGAACATGGCCTGTAGGATATTGGTTCTTTGGTACTAGAAGAATCTTGCTTTTTGGTTTAGTGAGGGGTAAACATTTGCAAGAATTCCTAAAAAATATGTATATTCTTGTTGGACATGTAAGTATGACCTCATGTTCATCTTTCCCTGTCTCATACCTGTCATTTTTTTGTGGCTACCAGAATTTGCTTAGCTCTTCCTGTGTTTTGGTCATTTGTTCTATTTCCAAGTTGTCACTGGTTCTAAGACTTTAAATTTAAGTTTTGAATACTGTTAAAGACCTGTATCCATTAGCTTTTGTTGCATAAATCACTTCCCCCAAATTTACCATTTTACAGTCCTGCAGGTGGACAATCTGGGTTGGGATCAGCTAGGAGGTTCTTCTGGTCCTGGCTGGTTCTTCTGGGTTGGAAGAAGCTGGCTGTCTAGAGTGGCCTCAACTGGCTCATCTCAGACTAGGAGGTCTTTCAGCCTCCAGGAGGCTCGTTCATGTGGTGGCTTGAGCATGGTTTTATGAGAAATTGCAGGGCCTCCTGAGGTATAGATTCAAAACTCAGAGGTGGCTCAATATCACCTCTGCTGCAAGCCACAGGGCCAGCCAGACTCAGGGTGTGGGCAAGAGGGTCCTTCTATTGATGCAAAGAATTGCAAAACCACATTTAAAAGGGAGCTATCACCCTGGCCGGTTTGGCTCAGCGGTTAGCGCGTTGGCCTATGGTCCAGAGAGACCAGGGTTCGGTTCCCGCTAAGGGCACGTACCTCAGTTGCAGTTTGTTCCCGGCCCTGGTTGGGTGGCAACCACTCGATGTGTCCCTTTCACATCGATGTCTCTCTCTATCTCTCTCCTTCCCACTCTATCTGACAAAAAAAAAAAAAAAGGAAAAATGTCCTCGGGTGAGGATTAAAAAAAAAAAAGGGAGCTATAGCGAGAAGTGTGGCCGTTTTTGCAATGTCACAAGCCTTTCATGTCCAAGTCTTTCTTTTGCAATTCTCCTCCACCCATCCACAATCTCCTCTCCTTTCAGGTATCTGCTGACCCTCAACCCCCATTTCCCCGAACCCACCCAGAAAGTCTTCCTAGACTATTCCCACCCACCCCTACAGCCCTGCCCATCACAGCTGCTACTCTTGAGGCCTCTAAGGGGGTGAGGGAGCTGTCTGTCTGCCTGGTTTGGGGCCAAAGCTATGTTCTCCCTCCCCAGGTGAGCATCACCTGTGTGGCTGGCCCCAGATTGGGGGTGGCCCAGTAGGATTTCTGAGCCACTGTGTCTCCCATAGCTTGTGTGGGCCACCTCGAGCCAGCTGGGCTGTGGGCGACATCCCTGCTCTGGGGACCAGGCCGAGATGGAAGCCTTTGTCTGTGCCTACTCTCCTGGGTAAGCCCCCACCACTGCTGGGCTGTTCGGGCTGGGGTGCGGAGGATATTTTCACCCTAGGAAAGATGACTACTCACTCACCCAAAAGGCCTTTACCTCTAGAGCTACACCCATGTGGGAGAGGGAAGAAGAGGATAAGGGATTGGGTGCAGAGATGGCTGCACCCACAATTCTGGCCATGCAGAATGTGAGATCTTTTCAGATGCTTCTTCCTAGAAGCACTACCAGCTTCCAGGGGTTAGTTTCTAGGTCACCTCTTCTTTCCTAGGACATCTCCCAGTCTCACCCAGCTCCCACTCCCTGGCTGGGCCAGAGGAGCTAAAGGGGTTGGTGGGGCAGGCAGCAAGCTTCGCCCTTGCTTGCCCAAGGCCAGGCCCTTCCAGCCCTCTGGTACTTGCTCTCACAGAGGCAACTGGGAGGTCAATGGGAAGACAATCGTTCCCTATAAGAAGGGCGCCTGGTGTTCGCTCTGCACGGCCATCGTCTCGGGTTGCTTCAAAGCCTGGGACCATGCCGGGGGACTCTGTGGTAAGTGCTCACTTTGCCTGTTTCTTCCTTGGGGAGCAGGTATATGAGAGTTTGATCCGGTGACTAGAGGAGGGTGACAGCATCCTGAGGGGCTGAGCCCTGGGCCTCAGCACCCAGGAAGGCACCTGCCTGGATGAGGCTCCCTTTCAGAGTTTTCTCCTTATCTGAACAGAGGTCCCCAAAAACCCATGTCGCATGAGCTGCCGGAACCACGGACATCTCAACATCAGCACCTGCCACTGCCACTGTCCCCCTGGCTACACGGGCAGGTTCTGCCAAGGTGAGGACCACCTGGAGTTCCAGATCACAACAGCCTGAGGGACCCAGCAAGTGGAGTCTCGGCCGGCACACATGAGGCAGGCCCCAGGGGGTGAGGAAGGCCTGAGCCCTCCGTGCATGGGCATGTGCGTGCACACACGCTTGTGTGGTGTGCCCGGGGACTGCGTTACACTCATTGAGTGAGTTTCGAGGAAGATCAAGTGTGTACTTGCTGCCTGCACACCACACAGCGTCAGTCAACCAGCATTCCTGGGTGCTGTCTGACAGACCCTAAGCTGTGCAGGGGGTTCACATTCGATTCAGATGTGGCCCCACGGGCCCTGAGGTGCTGGAAGACAGAATGTAGATTCAGGAGGGGATTCTTCTCCCACTGTCCCCCCTCTCCAGCTCTATGACCATGGCCACCTCCCCAACCCCAGTTTGCTTCTCTACGAGATCAAACCAAAGATGCCGAGCGTGGCAGCGTTTGGAAGCCCTGTGGCTTCCATCCCTGAGAGGGGCGATCCCTCTGTGGTCGGCCAGCCCTGCGTGTCTGCAGTCTGTGAGGGGAAGCATGGGCCCAGGGGCTGCAGCTGAGAGCCATCCCCTTGCACCCTGTCCTGGCAGTGCGGTGCAGTGTGCAGTGCGTGCACGGCCGGTTCCGGGAGGAGGAGTGCTCCTGTGTCTGTGACATCGGCTACGGGGGAGCCCAGTGTGCCAGTGAGTCCTGACAAGCTGGGCCCCTTTCAGGACCCCCTTAATAGGATGCTGGATCTGGTCAGACGACCTCACAATTCAGTGACATTGGTAGCTTGAAATGGGCCATGGTATGGGTATTTACACCACAGAAATGGGCAAATACTATGAATCATGATTTTTTTGAGGCAGAGAGCTGGCTGTTACACATTTACCAGCACCCCACTGACCCCACCTACTCTCCAATGGGTGGTGCCTTGAGTTCAGCTCCCTGGCTGGGTGGGAGGGGTAACAATTCTGACATAAGATCCCCACACTCAAACTCACACTCCCCTCTCCCCAGCCAAGGTGCACTTTCCCTTCCACACCTGTGACCTAAGGATCGATGGAGACTGCTTCATGATATCTTCAGAGGCAGACACCTATTACGGAGCCAAGATGAAATGCCAGGTAACAGCTGACCCCTGCCTTCCCAGGGACTGCCCTGTGGTCTTAAATGAGAGTCTTAATGGAGGGACCCTGGACTAAGAGATGGCTCCTTCGACATCTTCTGACCTGATTCTCATCATTAGCATAAAGCAGTGATGCACTTGGAGGCCCATAGAAACCAAGAGGTCACTTAATGAGTTGAGGGCCCAGGATGAGGCCCTACCCAGCCCCCATCTAAGGAGCTGTCCTGAGTCAGCTCCCGCTGCTGCCAACAGGGATACAAGTTCAGGGAAGCCAGAATTCAGGATTTCTCAGGAGAATCAGAAATCCAGATTTTATTGGCATCTCTAAGACTTATTAATGTTGGCAGACAACTCAAATGTATATAAGGCACTGAGCAGGTAAAACAAACCCTTCCTGTGGTAGGCCCCTGCCAGTCCGGGCCTGAGCAGGCAGGGGAGAGAGGGGGTCCCTACTCTAAGAGGCAGGAGGCGGCGGGTGGGGGGTGACGACAGCACAACCAGCACACGTATTTGTTCTTCTGGCCATGGTGGGGGGCAGGAAGGGCTGGTGAGCTCTGAGTCCCTGCCAGCATAGCTCAGAGTGGGGGTTACAGGGAAAGGGCGGGGTCCTAGCCCAGATCGAGAGCCAGAAAGTACAGGACATCCTCGCCTTCTACCTGGGCCGCTTGGAGACTACCAACAAGGTGACCGACAGCGACTTTGAGACCAGGAACTTCTGGATCGGTGAGTATGGGGGCTGGGATGCCCCACAACCCTCCAGGAATCTGGGCGGTGGAAACCCAGAGCACCCACCAGCAGATAGCAAGGGTGTGGTGAGGGCTTGGAGCCCAGAGTGGGGCCAGTAGTCAGGCTGGCAACCGCCTTCCTCGGGGGAGAGCTGCAGTGAGAGAGCCACCAGGGGCCCTGGAGAGCGGGAGGGGGTTTAAAGACGGGACCAGACGGGCATGAGGCAGCAGGCTTAGGGCTCAGGGCCCCCCTTTCTTGGGTACTGGGGCCAAACTTGACTGCCCCGGCCCAGGGCTCACCTACAAGACCGCTAAGGACTCTTTCCGCTGGACCACCGGGGAGCACCAGTCCTTCACCAGTTTTGCCTTCGGGCAGCCTGACAACCAGGGGTGAGTCTTGGGTGCCCTCCCTCCACTAGGCCCACCTTCTCCCCTGGGCCTGCTTGCTAAGCCTTCAGATGCCACTGAAGAACCTCTACCCAGCCTGCTGCCTGGCCGAGCCCTCTGAGTGCCTGAGACTCCCCTGATACCCAGTGCCCAGGAAGTCAGGGCACAGCGGGGTGTGGGCATGGTGCTGAGGTGAGGCATGTCCCCGACCTCCAGGGACCCACATAAAGAAAGGGAACCCAAGAAGGCTTTATCCATCCACCCATCCCATGGTCCCCTCCATCTATTATCCATCCCCTCACCCTACCCCATACCTCTATCAATACACTGATTCACAAATTCCGTAGCTGTCCACCCACCTGGATCCATTCACATAACATCCACCCCACAGCCAGCCTGTACTGAGGGCCTTCTGGTTATGTGGCCCTGCCCTGGTCTTCAAAGCCCAGGAATGCCCAGGGCAGGGCTGACAGGGGTGGAGGTGGTCAGGCTGTGTGGCCACCCAGGGGTCCACCTCAACCTCCTTAATGGCAGCCAGACCTATGCCCCTGACCCATCACCTAGAGGAGGTCAGCCTGGTTGGGCTCCCAGGCACACCTCTCCCTGCTGGGAGGGAGGACATGTCTGTTCCAGCCCCTCCCCAACCCCCATTGGCTGCTGTGGCTGAGTGCAGGCAGTGGGTAGTGGCGTTGCTACCCCAGATCCGGGGTGTGCCAAGACCTCCCAGCTTCCCTGAGGAGAGCTGCAGTGGTCTGGGGAGCAGGGATGGGATCCTGGGTTGGGTCTGGCTCCCAGAAGCCCCACATACAGGATAAAAGCACCGGGGCCTCTTAGATACAGGTGGCCGGCTAGGAGGAGGATTTAAGGCTCTCCCCGACTCCTGATGCAATTCTTCCTGAACACCCAACATCTTGGCCCGACAGATTTGGCAACTGCGTGGAGCTGCAGGCCTTGGCCGCCTTCAACTGGAACGACCAACGCTGTAGAACCCGAAACCGCTACATCTGCCAGTTTGGTGAGGGCCTCCAAGGGCTCCCCTCCTGTGGTCCCTGTCCCCTGGGGCAGCTGCTGGCCCAGTCCAGGCTGCCCGGATGTCCAGATCACAGGCCTAGAGAGTATCTGGACACACAGGGCCTGTGAGAACACCCTGCTCAGGACAGGACCCGAGAAGCCTGGAGGGGAGAGGCCCAGCCGCACAGAGCACGTCTACACAGCAGCAGGGCTGAAAGCACAGTCTACCTGGGGTTCTCCAAGGTCCCTTCCTCCTGTCACTAAAGTTGCTATTTGAGGACCCACTGGGTTCTCAACGTTACCCGATTCTCTAGAGCCCAGTGAACTCTGGTGGATGGCAGAGGTGAAGCCTAGCCCAGAACCGGCTCCCAACGGCACCTGCTGGAAGGGCCTGGAGCTACCCCTGGGGCCATGGGTACTTCCGGACCAAGTGCAGCAGGGTGTCCATCCCAGTAGTCCCTGGGCTGCCACTGACCCTCGCTGTGTTCTGCTTCCTTCCCAGCTCAGGAGCACATCTCCCGGTGGGACCCAGGGCCCTGAGAGGGCACTGCCTCCTCCGCCACGCCTGGGTGCACCAGCCCCGCCTGCCCGTCTGCCCGTCTGCCCGTCTGTCTGGAACGTGGGCCAGGCCAGGACCTCAAGCCCAACATCCAAAGAGGTCTCAGACCTTGCAGGAAGTGGGGCAGGGAGCCTGGCATAGGGAGAGGGGAGCCTGGGGCCCCTCAGCCTGCTTTCGCCTGGGAGATGGGCCTCAGGTGCTGAAACAGGACCCAAGTCCAGGGGTCAGACAACACTGCTCTTCTCCATCTGGGCTGGACCCTCTGGGGCAGATGGAGGTTCCTCCCTGCCCAGGATACACTCCACAAAAGATTAAACTAAGTTATGAAAGAGCTAAACTTGTGAAGGCTCATTTTGAAGGGGAATTCAGAAGAGCCAGGAGGATCCGGGAAGACCAGAGAGCACCTGAGGCTCCACTGCCATTGCCCCCTGCCCACCCCAGTCCCTTCCCTGCTCACCCAGGTGACCCGGGCCACCTCTGGAGGTTTTCAGGCTCCAGGCCCTGAACAACACATAGAATTAGAAGCCTTGCATTCCTAATTTCCTGCTCCAGCTCCTCTCAGACAGCCTCTGTCGGCTTTGTGTTTCTCTTCCACACTCTTCCACACTCTTCCTTTGTTCTTCATGCTCCATGCGCTTCTTCTTTCTTTGTGATTATCTACACTGCGATCTGTTATGGCCCCATCTCCCTCCTTTCCTACAGTGGTGAGAGAATCCAGGCAGGTGCTATCATCAGTGTGCAGAACGCACCACGCCCACTTGTATACTGTCGTGTGCCCACGTCGAGGTGCTTTGCTGGTTGGAGGTAGAAGTGTGGCCTGGGACCATGGGATGGGGAGAAGTATATCAATCACAATCTTAGGTCTAATTATGGCAGAAAAAGAATTTGTCCTAAGGACAGTGATTCAGAAATGGGCAAAGGACTTGAATAGATAGTTCTCAAAAATGATAAACAAATAGCCAACAAGCACATGAAAAGATCAACATCTGCCCTAGCCGGTTTGGCTCAGCGGTGAGAGCATCGGCCTGCGGTCCAGAGAGATCTGGGTTTGGTTCCCGCTAAGGGCATGTACCTCGGTTGCAGTTCGTCCCCGGCCCTGGTTGGTCGGGCGGGTGGCAGCCACTCGATGTGTCCCTTTCGTGCTGATGTTTCTCTCTCTCTCTCTCTTCTTCTTTCTCCCTCCCACTCTATCTGAACAAAAAATGGAAAAAAATGTCCTCAGGTGAGGATTAAAAAAAAGAAGAAGAAAAAGAAAAAGGAAACGTTATTTTAAGTGAAAAGCTACTTGCAAAATGTCACATATTGCATGATTCCATTTATATGAAATATTCGGAACAGAAAAATCCATTGAAACAAAACAGATTGGTGGCCCTGGCCAGAGTGGCTCAGTTAGTTGAATGTTATCCTGTCCACCAAAATGTCACTGGTTCCATTCCTGGTCAGGGCATCTGCCTAGGTTGCAGGCTCGATCCCTAGTAGGAGGGGTGCAGGAGGCAGCCAAGTGACGATGTTTCTCTCAATGTTTTTTTTTTTTTAATACTCACCTGAGGATATTTTTCTGTTTATCTTCAGATAGAGTGAGGGGGGAGAGAGAGAGAGAGAGGGAGAGAGAAACATCAATGTGAGAGAGACACACAGATTGGCTGCCTCCCACACGACCCCAACCAGGGCCAGGGAGGAACCACAACGGAGGTATGTGCCCTTGACTGAAACTGAACCTGCGACTCTTTGGTCTGTGGGCTGATGCTCTACCACTGAGCCAAACCTACCAGGGCTCTCATCGATGTTTCTATCTTTCTCTCCCTCTAAAATCAATAAAAACATATTTAGAAGAAAAAAGGATAATGGTTGGTCACAGGATCCTGGCAAGAGTCAGAGAGCCAGCCAGGCTGGGCACCTATGTGGCCAGAAACAGTGGCCCAAATTCTGCTGCAAAGCCAATCTGGGTGGACTCCGTGTCATTGCTGCAGGCATAGGGACTGCAGAGTGTACTCCAGCAGCAATGACACAGGGGCCACCTTTGCGGCAACACTGTCTCTGCTGGGGCCGCTAACTCTGGGAGCCTCTGACACCCCAGGACAAAGGTTCCCATCAGGCTGCGCTTCTCAACATCCCTGCCACTACTGCATGTCCCTCATCTGTGTGTTTCTCAATGCCACAGCAAAGGACACACCTTTGGGGCCATCTCAGGGTTCGTGGGTGGAGGTGGCAGTGAGCACGTCCTACCTGAAAAGTCCAAGACAACCTTCTCGTCTGGAGGCAAGTTAGCATAATGCCACGGTTCTCCATGTCGGTCCCTGTACCTGCAGCATTGGCATCACCTGGGAACATGTTAGAAAAGCAACTTCTCAGCTGTCCCAAACCCAGTTTGTCCCGCAGAAATTCCGAAGGTGAGGCAGATTATCTGGGTTTCAACACCTCCAGCTACTTCAAACACAGGTTCTGGTTTGAGAACCACTGGCAGAGAGAGGCAAAGAGCTTGAGTCTAAAGTCAGACCGCCTGAACTTGAGGCCATGCTCTGCCACTTACTGTGAGACTTTGGGCAAGTTATTTAATACTGAGGGGGACCAGTTGTCCCAATTTTCCTGGAACTGTGCCATTTTCAGCATTCAAAGTCCCATGTACTGGGAAACTCCTCCATCTCAAGCAAACCAGGGAAGTTGGTCACCCTAAAACATCTCCCTGCCTCATTTCTGTAAAATGAGGATAGTAAAATAGTTTGTACATTGAAGTGTTTGAAAGAGTGCCTGGTAAACACCGATTAGTGTTAGCTCAGCTGAGCTAGTGCCTTACTTTTTTTTATTCCTTCATCATTATGCCATCTAAACTTCATTTGTTAACTAAATACATTTTAAATAAGTACAGTGCTTAAAACTGGGCCTGGTGGATAGTAAATGCTCAACAAGTCTTAGCTATTCTCATTCTTCTGATTATTAACTCTTAGCAAATATTATTTGGCCACAATTGAGTCCAAGTTTCAAGCAACCATCAGAGCCAACAACAGAACCATCCCAGCTACTCAAGCCAGTCCCATAAAATCCTAAATGTCAATACATTCAACCCCACTAACGTTATTTTCTTCCTTCCCCAGTCTCCACCCTCAGAAACCATTGCCAGGTTTTCTCCAATATCAATTAGCAAAATCTCACAGTTCTTTTTTAAATCCTTACCACCCAAGGATATTTCTCCATTTATCTTCAGATAGAGTGCGAGGGACGGAGAGAGAAAGAGAAAGAGAGAGACAGAGAGGACAGAGAGAGAGACACACACATACATCAATTGGTTGTCTCCCACACGACCCCAACCAGGGCCAGGGATTGAACCACAACCGAGGTACATGCCCTTGACCAGAATTGAACCCGAGACTCTTTGGTCTACGGGCCGATGCTCTAACCACGGAGACAAACCGGCCAGGGCAATCTCACAGTATTTTTTGGTGATTCCATCCTTATCCCAGATTTGAAGTCATTGGCCCCCTGGGGCCTGCAAGGATCTGACTTATTATTTCAGTCCTGAGAAAACGAAGGGTGTGGGGTAAGGCACACAAGGGGACTCGTTCAGGCAAGGTCATGACAAGATCATTAAGGAAATGCTAGCTGCTGGCCATGGTTGCACATGTGCAATAGGGGTTGAGGGAGCCCAGGCTGAGTGAGGGCCTGCCACCTGCAGCACCTGGCTTCCCAGCTCACTCAGGTGGTCAATTCAGGACGCAAGAGCATGGATGCTCACTCAGAATGCTGTGGGCCTGGAAGTGGCACACATCCCACCCACACATAGCCGCTGGCCACGCCTCAGCCATGTAGCCCACTAACTACAAAGGAGGTTGGGAAACTCCAGCTAGATGCGTGCCCAGGAGGAAAGGGATGTGAGTTTGACAAAGAGCTAGTGAGTTTCTGCCACTGGGATCTTCAGAATAGCCCCGAGGAGTCACTTTGGCCAGCAAGAAAGGCTCTGTGGGGGAGAAGGGTAACTAAATCCTCCACACCCTCCCACAGAGCCCTGTTCTGACCACCTCTGCTCTCTACTCTTTCCCAGTTAGAGACTTAGCAACGGCGTGAAGCCAATGATGGTGTCATTTGATAACCATTCATTGATCAAGCTTTAAGTTTGGTTTACTCTGTCCACCTTGTAGTTGCAAGTTACAAAAATCCCCCGGTTTTCTAACCATGCCTTGAGCTGAGAATTTGGCTTTGAGCTTGTCTCTCTTTCCTTTGAGCTGTATGGTGCCAGAGCACAATACCCGAGCCAACGGCCCTTGACTTCAGGGTTATCTTTATGCTCTTCTATGGCAGGAGCCACCAGGTCCCAAAGCCTTGCCTTTGATGGGTGCTTTGTTCTGGGGGGCCCACAGGATTAACTGCCTCACTATGGCATGCCACGGGCGGCTGGCATCCTGTCCACTAATACGAGCTGGATTTTCACTGTCCTCTGACTACTTGCCAGCCTTACATCATCCCTCTTCCCCTCAGGACTTCTTGCTCCATCCACTCCTAGTTCTATTTTTATATCAATCAAGGTTCTTAGTCTTAAGCAAGATAAACTGATTCTGGAAACTCTAAGCAGAAAAGGAATTTGTTGAAGATACTGGTTCCCAGGAGATCCGGACGTCGGAGGGTCAGATCTGGAGGAGACCTACTGCCTCTGCTGGTCAGAGATGCCACAGTCAGCACCACCACTGTGGGATGGAGGTCCCACCACCTTTGAAGCTGCTGCCACTGCCACCACCAATTGCTGAGATGTGCTTCCTCACATTAGCAGCTTTCAGTCAAAGTTGAGCATGTGGGTCTGAGTGGAGGGGCCAAGTAATGTGCCCAGGCCATAGCTGCAAGAAAGGCTGGGAAAGGGAGGCAGAAAGGGGCATTTTTAACTTCTTTCATGGGAGGCAGGTTCTGTCTCAAAGTTGGGGATACCTCTAACACAACAGGGGGACTCAGATGTGGAGTGGTCAAAAGAATGTTGCCTACTGCAAGAATCCACCTGGTGAACCCAGGACTCCAGCCCATGCTCTAACGAGGGGCCTCACCAGCCACTGCGTTC